AGTAAACAAATACTTAGAATTTCAAATAGAAATGTGGGAAATGGTGTTTCAGAAACCACAGTTATCTAGTAATATGCAGGGCAGACAAATGGCAGGTGTTGTAATTAAAGAGATGTGAGGTTATATAACCTTGGATTATGTTGGTTTTGCAATTCTGAAGTTTAGAATTATAATTTTTAGGCGATTACCACAAATGGTAGTGTTCAAAAGTTTCAGCCTGATGAATGCACGAGAGAATGTCCATGGAGTGAGTAATTAATGTATTTTTACCTCACAATTAGAGGACTTTAGAGAAATGTAATTTTTTAATAGACATTTTCTAGAGCAGTTTCAGGTTCACAGCAAAATTAGAGCAGAAGGTACAGATTTCCCATATACGGCCTGCCTTAACACACGTACAATCACCCTTGCTACAACATCCCCAACCAGAGTGATACCATTGAACAACTGACGAACTTACACTTGATGATGATTTTTTTACCTGTTTTCCTTTTTTCTTTTTTCTTTTTTTTTTTTGGCGCGGCCTGCAGGATCTTAGTTCCCCCACCAGTGATTGAACCCCTGCCCTCAGCAGTGAAAGTGTAGAGTCCTAACCACTGGACCACCAGGGAATTCCCTCTTTGTTTTTCCTTATACTTGACTGACAATTAAAATATTAATGTTCACCATAGCTCTATGTGAAATCAGATTATTTCACCACTGCTTAAATCATGTGATTCTTGTCCAAGTGTTTTTGGTGGCCAAAACAAGTGAGGCAATGGCTTGTTTGAGGCTGAAAAAAGAATCCTAATCCTACCAAACAAAAAGAGGGGAGAAAGTATAAACTGACCTTGACATTTGGATAGTTCTCTGACAAATCTCTGGGAACTGGGAACTTTTGTTTTTGATTTGCATGGCCACCGGAGAGGCAGTTTTAGTAATCAGTGATTTATTACAATGGGCCATTATAGCAACTGGAGGAAAAAGGACTCTAGGTTGAAGTTTACTTTCTTATATACTGAAAATGAGTTTCCTAGCTGGGATTGCTCAATCCCAAGAACAGATTGTGAAACGTTTCCCCGCGTCCCAATAATCTGAAGTGACTCATCAGCTGGCAATATGGACAAACCACCCACAATTCACGTCCATTCAAAACATGATCACCACAAATTCTATTTTCTCTCTATTTGAAGGCTGATGAGAGAATCGAACACCATCTTTGTGGAGAAAAAACGGAGTATAGCTGGGTTTTTTTTGTTTTGTTTTTCGGTTTACTGCAGCACTTTTACTTCCTCACAATGGCACACTGCTGGGGCCTAATATTCTCACATGACAGTAGAAAACCAAAATCTGTTGTTATCTCTTCAAGAATTGAGAATTGTGTGCAAAAACCTTACATAAGTTAAGAGGATGAATACATTTACAGATGTGAATGCAAACTGTTTTCCAACTCAAGGCAAGTAATGACATATGGTGTTCTGGCAGGAAAACTTCGATAAGAAAGGAAAGCAGGTCCTAAGGTTCGGAACTTCTCAACCTGGTAAGACTGGCAAGTTAGTAATTACAACGAGTTAATTTGTATAAATTTCTAACTGGTTCTGAGAAGTTTAAATTTATTTACACCTCATAAGAATCCCACTTGTGGAATTGTGAGGCTTGTGCTCACTTTGGCAGCACATATACTAAAATTGGAATGACACAGAGAAGATTAGCATGGCCCTTGCACAGGATTACATGCAAATTCATGAAACATTCCATATTTTTCAGTTATCGAATTTGTATCTTTGTGTATATGATGTCTTTGCAAAGATTAAATAGTATAAAATATGATGTAAATTGTACCAACTGATATGGAAAGAAACAGTACCAACATTAAACTTTGCAAAATTTTAAAACTTAAAAAAAAAAATCCTGCTGGGACTTCCCTGGTGGTGCAGTGGTTAAGAGTCCGCCTGCCAATGCAGGGGACATGGGTTCGAGCCCTGGTCCGGAAAGATCCCACATGCTGTGGAGCAACTAAACCTGTGTGACGCAGCTCCTGAGCCTGTGCTCTAGAGCCCGTGAGCCACAACTACTGACCCACATGCCGCAACTACTGAAGCCCACGCGCCTAGAGCCCGTGCTCTGCAACAAGAGAAGCCACAGCAACGAGAAGCCTGTGCACCGCAACGAAGAGCAGCCCCCACTCACCACAACTAGAGAAAGCCCTTGTACAGCAACAGAGACACAATGCAGCCATAAATAAGTAAATAAATTAATTTTTTAAAATCCTGGGAATTCCCTGGTGGGTCCAGTTGTTGGGTCTCTGTGCTTCCACTGCAGGGGGCACAGGTTCGATGGCTGGTCTGGAACTAAGATCCTGCATGCCATGACGTGGCCAAATAAATAAATAAAATAAACATAAAATAAAACACAACCTCCTATCAAAACATCACATTAATAAAAAAAATCCTATCAGGCTAATAATTTTTTTTTTTTACAATTTACAAAGGATGAAATCAGGGCACAGAAATTCATCCCCACTAAAAAATGTATAACTTCAACAGGGTTCATCCTATCTGTAAACATCATCACTCAGTTGTTCAAGCCCAAAGCACAGGCATCGTCCCTGATTCTCTCATTTCCTTCTATCCCACATCCAACCCATTATCAAGTTCTTTTAGTTCTGTCTTCCAAAATATTCTGAAAGTGATTACTTTTCACCTCTGCTGCTTCACTTCTAGGCCCAGTTCTAGACAGCTCTCCCATCTGGTCTAGTGAAATAGCCTCCCTACTTGACCCACTGTTTCCACTCTTGTCCCCTCCCTAATGACAGTTTATTCTCTGTTTAGTAGATAGAACGATCTTTTAGAAATATAAGTATGATCATGACACTTCCTAGCTGAAAGTCCTCCAATAGAGTCCCACCCTAGAATAAAACTAAAACTCCTTATAATTCTATACACTATACTCCATTTGGCCACTGCTTACCTCTCCTAACTAGTTTGCTATCATTTTCTATTTAATTCACTTTAACAACAATGTTTTTCTCATTCTTCTTCAAAATTCATTCCTTTCTTAAGGCCTTTGTACCTGTTGTTTCTTTTATCCTGACTGCTTTTCCCTCAGAGCAGCTTTCTTACTACTTCATTGAAGTCTTAGCTCAAGTGCCATCTCCTGAGAGGCCTTCCCTGACCACATTACCTAAAATAAGCCAGCTCTGACCTCTGTTTATTTGGCTTATTTTTTTCCCATACCATTTTACACTCCTTGAATTTCTCTGTTTGTGTGTTTATTTCTGTCTTCCCACCAGAATGCAAGTTCTCTGGCTGAGGACAAGTACATTGGTTGATTTGTTTATTGCTGTATCTCCAGAGCCTAGAACATGCCTGACACTTAGTAGGCATTCAAATATTTATTGAATGATTGAATTTGTGTTTATGATTTTTGTTTCCTTGTTCCTTCCACAACTTTGTAGAGGAATAGTGAAAGAGTTATGGAATTTAACAATGCATGTAAAACAGCTATTTAAACTGAAAAACCTTATACAAATGCTGGTTATCCCGCTTGTGAGTATTACCTATTGGTCTCCTCTGGATTTTCTCTTTATTCCTGCTCTGGGTCAGGGACAACATGAGAGTAATAATTATTTAATTCAAGTAAGTCTGAATTTTGAAATATCTGTTGTGTTCAGGGTAGTTAGGTATAAAGGGGGATTCAACAACATGAAAGCCTTAGTCTATTAATGTCTAGGAGGAGTTTAACTTTCTAGTGGGAGAAAATGAGACATGTATTAGAGAAATAACCAAAAAACATTTCAAAGACAACAAGGAAGTAAGCCAGTGAAAGCAATAAGAACAAAGGGAATTCAAAATACTGGAAAGATTCTTTCATTACTGGGTTTAATGTAGTAAGCAAATCTTAAAAGGACGACAGTGCTGGGAATTTGTGTAGTGAAAGAACATGAATGTCCAAACATTAGCCTGATAAATATTACTTTGGGTGTCCTTTTTATTGGCACTAATTGAGCATCACAAGCAAATGGGTGGTTTCTTGGCTATATCTATATCTATATCATCATCCGTCTGTCCAGCACCTGATTAACTGCATATTTCTGGTGAGGTATTTTCTCTACTAAACTTTTCCCTCCTTCACAGTGCTAAAACCTTTTAAAAGTTTTTACTGCTGTATCAGCCACTTTGTTACAAACCCCATGCCTATTAATAAGCCATATTTTCATGGGATTGTCAAGAGTATTAAATTTGATAGTACTTATGAAGTGCTTAAGTCTATGTTGAGCGTTCCTTCGATAGAACAATAAATATTATTATATAAGAAATGTAACCGACGGAATGACACCAGGGCGATCTCAATATGTTCCTTACGGGAAGTGTAAACAGTTAGGAAGGAGTCAGGTGTGGTCCACAAACCCATGTCAAATTGAAAACAATACAAGCCGTACCGGTCATTCAGATCACCACCCTGGCTGCAGGGCAGCCCATCAGCGTCAGCCAGCCTAAGCTCCCGGAAGGTAAACACATTGAAAAGGGCGGGGCAGAAGGCGCGTTCGGGATGGTTGACTGGCCAGCTAAAAGTGATTGGCAGCTGCCATGTCCACGTGCGTTGAGCTTCGAACCAGCTGTCGCGAGAATTCGATGTAAACAGACCGGTCCCCGTGAGGTACGACTCCCAGCCTGAGACACCCAAGTGACGTGCACAGGCTTCTGCGGCATGATGCTTTTTGACAAGGCCACGAAGGTGCTGTGTCCAAAGGAAAACAGACATGTTTGTAACTCCTCCCTACCTGCCTGCGTTCGCAACCGAACCTTACACCCCGGCTTCACCCGAACTCACATACTGTTGTGTTTTCCCTCGAGCCCCAGCGGATTGGATCACTTCAGGAGGCGGGTCCGCCTCTTTGCTACTTGCTGGTTGGCGAAGCTGACCTCTAAGGGCGGTGCCCAGCTGCGGCCAGTTTGCTTCTGGGATTGGCTAGAAAGGTAGTTCCGCTGAGGCGTGGTAGGAAGTGGTAACCGTCAATCACGAGGGGAGACTCCAAACAGTGAGTCTTGAGCTGGAGAGCAGCGTTTACCGGCGGCGCGGCCGGTGAGAGGGCTGGCGGTGCTGCGGCTTCGAGGAGGCTTGGCGAGGACGTGGGACGAGCAGCGTGAGGGGAGAGGGCTTGGCTGGTAGGAATTCGACGAGGTAGAGCTGTGGAAATCGGAGGGGGAGGGGAGGAAGGGCAAGGGGCCAGAGGGCGGCCGGGGACAGCGGTGGCTCAGCGTTGGAGGTGAAATGGGTAACGCCGTGCTGATGTCTTTCAGGAGAGTGCGGCCTGAGGGGCTGGCGAGGGTCGTCCTCAGGAGACAGGGCCCTTAAAGACAGTTCTTGGGAGCCTGTGTTTCGAGAAATAAAGGGTGGAATGGAAATGAGAGGGCTCAGGGGCTGGAGGTGAAGATACCCACTGAGGAAGGGGTACCTGGGCTAGTTGGGGCACAGGGTGTTTTGGTTGTAGCAGATGGGACTCATCAGTTTGCGAGTTTTCAAGTAAGGTGATAGAATGCTCCCTGCTTAGAGGAGATGCTTTTAAGGGCTTTCAAGATTAGTTCCAGGCTGTGGGCTTTCCTGAGCCGTGTAAGAGATCTTTAATATTGCTGTCTCTTTTAACCTTAACCACATACAGTCCATGCTTTGAAAACCTCCCCAGTGATTCAGATGCTTATTAGACATTCAAGGATCAGGATTCAGTGATGAGACTGGAAGGGCTTCTAATGTCATATATGTTTTTATTACTTATTTAGACTATGGTGATTAGGTTACAATAGCAGAGGTTACAAATATGATTACAAATGAGGTTACAAATATGATTTTGATAGTCTTGTTAAATTGTGACTGCAGTCTTTTTAAAATATATATATATATATTTGACATATAAATTACATGAGTTTCAGGTGTACAACATAATGATTCGATATTTGTATACACTGCAAAATATCACCACAATAAGACTAGTTAACATCCATCAGGATACGTAGGCCATTTTACTCCTATTTTCCCAACACTCTTAGTTGGAAGGTAGTACCTCACTGTTCCATTTGGTCTTAAAATATTATACCATGTATATTTTTATTATCTCAATATAAGATTTCAGTAAATTCTTTAATTTTGGCTCGCAAAGTTAGCATATTTGTTTTTATAAAGTGATCCTGTGCTAGACTTTCCATCCCTTCCTAGTTTATGTTAATAGTAGATCAGGGACTTCCTTGGTGGTGCAGTGGTTAAGAATCCACCTGCCAATGCAGGGGACACAGGTTCGAGCCCTGGTCCGGGAAGATCCCACATGCCGCGGAGCAACTAAGCCCGTGCTGCACAACTACTGAGCCTATGTTCTAGATCCCTCAAGCCACAACTACTGAGCCCGTGTGCCACAACTACTGAAGCCCACGCACCTAGAGCCCGTGCTCTGCGACATGGAGAAGAGAAGCCACCGCAATGAGAGGCCTGTGCACCGTAGTGAAGAGTAGCCCCTGCTCGCCACAACTAGAGAAAGCCCGAGTGCAGCAGCGAAGACCCAACACAGCCAAAAATAAACAAACAAACAAAAACAATAAAAAAGCAGTAGGTCAGAGGGTCCTGCAAGGGTCTTAACTAGTTTTGTGGTTCTGAGCCTTGGTCCAAATAAGAAAACCTCATAGTAGTTTGAAAAATCTTTTATTTACTTCTTCCTCTTCTGCACTCCCCTCTTTTAGGTGTAATAGGAATTGCTGGGAAATTTTCCTACATTTTAGGACCTAACATTTAGGTATTTGTGACAAGGGATCTCTAGTGAGCAACCATGTATCTTTCTCCCGACCCCCAACAATAATGATCCATTATTTTCTGTCTTTTTGTTCTGGAAACAGGTTTTGTGAATGAAGCAATGGCTACAGATTCCCCCAGAAGACCCAGTCGTTGTACTGGTGGAGTCGTGGTTCGCCCTCAGGCTGTCACGTAAGCAAATTTCAGATAAGCCTGATAGGTAAAGGAAAGATTACTCAGAATAGTAACTAACATTTAGGTTTCCTTTCTAAGCAGTACTTACTTTTGTAAAATCTGTTTAATTTTGGCTTTACACGATGATAAACATCGTTGCCAAGGCCAAATAAAAGCAGTAATTGGAGGGTCAGTTTGATGTATTTAGCACATTTATATAGAGTACTTGAAAAGCACTGTATTTTGTCCTTGAGTACTGCTTTTTCAAACCTCAGGTTTAACAATTAGTGTCATTAAATCAGTTTAGTGGATCAAGACCATTATTCAAAAAATGAAATAGAATATAGTAGAAAATATAGTTGGGAGTTAGTATTGTGTTCTGACACGCACATAGATAATATGCATTCATATGTATGTATATGTTTTCTGGATTGTGATGTATCACTCTAGGTCTCAGTCAGAAAGTTTCAAAGTGAATGTCGTAAAGAGTACATTTCTATATTTTAAGCATTTTTTTGACAAAGCATGGCTATACTTTGCAGTAGCTTATAATCTAATGTAGTTTTTTTTTCTTTTTTTCTTTGGCTGCGTCGGGTCTTAATTGCGGCACATGGGATCTTTGTTGTGGTGTGGGGGCTTCTCTCTAGTTGTGGCTTGTGGGCTCTAGAGTGCACACGGGCTTAGTTGTCCCACGGCATGTGGGATCTCAGTTCCCTGACCAGGGATCGAACTGGCGTCTCCTGCATTGGAAGGCGGATTCTTAACCACTGGACCGCCAGGGAAGTCCCTAATGTAGTTTTAAGCTGTGTATACTTGCAAGCACTCTAATGAATAAAAAAGTTGCCAGCAAAACAGCATGGGAATTTAGAGGGAATATTTTGTGTTTTTAAATTATTTATTTATTTAAAAATTCTATTTATTTATGGCTGCGTTGGGTCATCTTTGCTATGTGCAGGCTTTCTCTAGTTGTGGTGAGCGGGAGCTACTCTTCGTTGCGGTGCGCGGGCTTCTCATTGTGTGGCTTCTCTGTTGCGGAGCATGGGCTCTAGGCACGCGGGCTTCAGTAGTTGTGGCACGTGGGCTCGGTAGTTGTGGTTCACGGGCTTAGTTGCTCCATGGCATGTGGGATTTTTCTGGACCAGTGCTCAAACCCATGTCCCCTGCATTGGCAGGCGGATTCTTAACCACTGCGCCACCAGGGAAGTCCTTATTATTTTTTTAAAATTTTGATTGGAGGGAATATTTTAGTGGGAGTATTTTAGATCTGAAAAGGTTTCATTAAGAAGCTAACATTTGGACTTCCCTGGTGGCGCAGTGGTTAAGAATCCGCCTGCCAACGCAGGGGACATGGGTTCGAACCCTGGTCCGGGAAGGTCCCACATGCTGTGGAGCAACTAAGCCCGTTCGCCACAGCTACTGAGCCTGCGCTCCAGAGCCTGTGAGCCACATATATTGAAGTCTGCGTGCCTAGAGCCCGTGCTCCGCAACAAGAGAAGCCACCACAACGAGAAGCCCACGCACCACAGCGAAGAGTAGCCCCCGCTCACCGCAACTAGAGAAAGCCTGCACACAGCAACAAAGACCCAATGAAGCCAAAAATAAATAAATAAATTTTGAAAAAGCTGACATTTATCGTGTAATTTAACGGCTGAATACAATTTGGGCAATTAGAATCAAGGGCACATTTTCGGCAAAGGCAATGGAGTAAGCAGAGGTGGGAAAGGCAAGCTATTTTCATAAATGGAATCTAGGGAAGTTGACCTATTTAAAGGAGGTTGGGGTGGACAATTAAGACCCTTGAATACCTGGCTAAGGAGATAAAGTTTGCTTTCTGTCTTTCAAAGTGTTAATAAGGGAATTGTAGCATTTTGAATTATTTCCCTTGAGCAGTTTAGCATGTTACATAAAATTGCCTTCTCAGACTAACAAAAAATATATGTATAGTATGATATTTCACCATTATACTTGCTTTTTTTTCCCTCCTGCATTTCCCAGGGCTATATATTTCTTTGCTAACTGTGGACCATGGCAACTGGCTAAGCATATTATTAGCTATGAGTTAGGTACTGTTGTAATCTTCATTTTACAGATGAGGAAACCAAAGCAGAGAGAGAAAAGTTTTCCTTGGTAACATCCAAGAAGGGAAACCTGGATCAAACCCAGGCAGTTTGTCTTCAGAGTCTGTGTGCTTATGCACTATTCTATGCTGCCTCACCATATGGTATTCCACATATATTGCTTTTTGTTACGCAATACATAATTTTAGTGTTTTTTGAAGTTCTTTATTCAGTATTCTTTTAACAATAATGCTTGAGCATCTACTCTGTGGCTAAGTACTGGCTTATAGATTCTGGAGATATAAGGTAAATATGAGAGATGGATTCCTTTCTGTAATAGAGTTTGCATTCTAGTGGAGGACACAGTAAGTAATTACAGGCTCTGATCAGTGCCCAGTGTGCTATGTTAGAGAACAGCATTAGGGAGTATGATTTAAGGCTGTCAGGGAAGGCCTCTCTGAGGAGGTAACACTTAGGCTGGAGATCTAAAAGGCAGGGAAGAATTTGCGAAGGGATCCATGCAGAAAAAAAGCTGGTGTAAAGGTCTTGATTCAAAGAAGAGCTTGGTGTAGTCTAAGAATTGAAGTTGCATGTGACTGAAGCAGAGTAAGTTACAAGAGTGGGAGAAAAGTGAGGTTGGAGAGGTAGGCCTAATCAAAAATTTTTTTTAAGGCCTACTCAGTTTTTGTAGGTATCTAAGGCATATTGCCTTTTTAAAAAATAGGATTTAGGGTAACTCACAGTATTTTCTTCAAATGTAATTTTTCACATTTCTCTGAAATGAATTTGATTTGGTATATATTTTGAAGAAAAATTTTTTTCCTCCATTTGCTGATCTCCATATATTTCCCATTTAAAATATCTTAGTGTCCTTAATAGTTCTTCACCTTTATGCATTTTGATATTTTCCCATACCTTATCCACACCAAAAGTTCTGTGAGGACTGTTTAATAACTCCTTCTAATGCCTGCATCTGCAGCAAAATATAGATTCATTTTGCTAGATACAGGTAAGGGACTAGGTTCTTAACCAGTTTAAAGAGAAGGTCACTAAATACTGAGTCATCAGCAACAGTTTTTCTTGCTCTAACTAGGGCATTCTTCTGCTCTGACTCAAGAGGACGGTCTTGCTTTAGCCAAGTCTTCTGTCAGCACTCTTTCAAATATGAGTTAAAAGTTCTATCTGTATCAAAATAAGAGAGCGTGCGGCTTAAAAAAGAATCAATTATTGCTATTTGCAGCAACATGGATGGACCTAGAGATTATCATACTGAGTGAAGTAAGCCAGGCAGAGAAAGACAAATGTCATATGATATCACTTATACGTGGAATCTAAAGAATAATACAAATGAACTTTTATATTTCAAAACAGAAACAGAGTCACAGACATGGAAAACAAACTTACGGTTACCAAAGAGGAGAGAGAGAGAGAGGGATAAATTAGGAGTATGGTATTAACAGATACACACTGCTATATATAAAATACATAAACAACATGGATTTACTGTATAGCACAGGGAACTATATTTAATATCTGGTAATAACCTATAATGGAAAAGAATCGAAAAAATGTATAACTGAATTACTTTGCTGTACACCTGAAAATAACACAATAATGGAAATCAACTGTACTTCAATTTAAAAAAATAGAGCATGACTTTTTATTTGTTTTTATTTTACTTTTAAAAATTTAAATTTATTTTTGGCTGCGTTGGGTCTTCATTGCTGTGCGCGGGCTTTTCTCTAGTTGCAGCGAGTGGAGAATACTCTTCGTTGCGGTGCACGTGCTTCTCATTGCAGTGGCTTCTCTGGTTTTGGAGCACGGGCTCTAGGCGTGCAGGCTTCAGTAGTTGTGGCTCGTGGGCTGTAGAGCGCAGACTCAGTAGTTTTGGCGCACAGGCTTAGTTGCTCCGCGGCATGTGGGATCTTCCCAGACCAGGGCTCAAACCCGTGTCCCCTGCATTGGCAGGCGGATTCTTAACCACTGTGCCACCAGGGAAGTCCCTAAAAAAAAAATGGAGCATGACTTTTAAGAAGAGATAATGTTTGGGAATTCCTTGGCAGTCCAGTCCCTGGCTGGGGAACTAAGATCCCACGAGCCCCATGGTGCGGCCAAAAAAAAAAAAAAAAAACAGAAAAGAAAAGATAAAGTTAAAAAATTTTAAAATCTCATTTGCATTTAATAACATATATAAAGAAATTAAGAAAGCAGGTTAGCAGAATTATCAGACGATGAGAGTTGTTTCTTTTTTTTAGTATTATGAATAACTTTATTAAGGCTTGTAGAAAGAGCTTTTCCATGTTTCATATTAAGCTGTCATGATAAATTTTATCCATTTCACCCTTTTTCAGGGAGCAGTCCTACATGGAAAGTGTCGTGACTTTTCTGCAGGATGTTGTGCCCCAGGTAAGTGTCTGTGTGGTTTCAGAAATAGTAGGCTTTACTGTTGGCCAGGGAAGCTCTGAAATATTCTGTTCCCTAAACTTGACACCAGTATCGCCAACTTTAGACTTTTGATGTTTTAGCATCCCAAGCGTTGGTAGGGTAGAACCATACTTGCTGTTATTATTAGATGTGCCTTAGTTTTGTGCTGACGGTGGCATAATTATTATTCCTTAGCCCTTGCTTTACTAAGAGTAATCAAGGTGCGATATTAGCTGAGAGATGGGGCTTGGAACTGCCTATTTGGGTTCTCTTTCCAAAATCTTTCTCTTGTCCTAGTTAAATGTTGCCTGTTGGAAGTGAAATAAGCAATATATGCTTTGCATCTGGTTAACTAGATACTATATTAACTAAATACTACACTGAGGTCAAATCTATATCACTTTCCCATTGAGCAGTAGTTTTATGCCAATTATAGCTTGCCTTGTTACTCTAACTTATAAGAGAGTAAGCCCTTTACCGTTCCCTCTATGTAAATGTGAGAATAAAGAATGAGAGGAACCCTCCTGGGATCACCTCTAGTGCACCGTCTCTCAGACTTAAATTAACATAGGTGTCGCTTGGCACACTTGTTAAAAATAATAATTTCCAGGCCCATCTCCCAGTGAGTTTGACTCAGGGGAATTAAGGTGGCATCCAATAACTTGTGTCTCTAGGAAGAATCTCAGGTGATTCTTGTGAAACAGTATCTTTGGGAAACACTGTTTAGTGGAACTACTGAAGGAAAAGGTTTCTGTGTTTTCTCCTGTGATGATGTCAGTGTTCAGACTGCTGTGGTATCTGTAATTGCACTGTTCAAAAAGAACATTCAGGGCTTCCCTGGTGGCGCAGCGGTTGAGAGTCCGCCTGCCGGTGCAGGGGACACGGGTTCGTGTCCCGGTCTGGGAAGATCCCACATGCCGCCGAGCGGCTGGGCCCGTGAGCCATGGCCGCTGAGCCTGCGCATCCGGAGCTTGTGCTCCGCAACGGGAGAGGCCACAACAGTGAGAGGCCCGCGTACCGCAAAAAAAAAAAAAAAAAGAAAAAAAAGAACATTCATAGATCCAGTGTCCCAGCTTTATGAGAAGGTCCTACCTAGAAAAGTCTAAAATCCAGATTTCAGTTGTATTAATAAATTGTATTCATCAAATAAGGGAAAGTATCAAGGCATGTTTGGTATTCCTTTATTATGTTCGGTCAACTTTAATGAAAATAGGCCACAATGACAAGGTCTGTGGGGCATGTAAGGAAAAATAAATGCTTTCTTTTCTTGAGGAACTTGGTTAAGAAGGGAAGTCAAATGACTTGAAGCAGTCAGAGGTAATAGCAACATATCACTAAGTGTTGCACATGATAGTACAGACTGAATATGTAATTGCTAAGGGAATGCATAGCAAAGAAAGCGTGAAGGAGTCAAGTTCCGAAGGACATTGGAAGTAGCGTTAGTTGAAATGAATGGCAAGGTTGGGAATCTGATGGTAAAGGAAACTGCCCAACTGGATATGGTAGGCATATCCATATGTGGCTGTGGAGAATCTTGTACTCTGTACAGTACAGACTTAGAGAACAATCAGGGGCCGAAATCCAACTTGGTCTTCTACAAACTGCACCTTTCTCTTAAGCCCTGAGCCCTGACGTGAGGCTAGTTCCAAGGAAGAGGCATTTAAAAATATTGGTAATTTGCCTGCTATAGAGTGCCCCTTTATCAGATTTTTACAAAGGCACCTTTTGTGCTAGTGGAAACCCTGCGTAGCAAGCAGTTTTTGTTGGCTGGAGGAGAGAGGCTGCGGTCAGAGGCTTTGAGGGAATAGTTGGAGAGTTTGCTAGAGAAACAAGAATACTGGGTTGAGCAATAGATTGAAAATAGGGGGCTGCTAAAACTGATAGGGTAAAAATGCCAGAAGGTAGAAGGTTAACTTAGTTTTTATGAGGATTATACATTAGAAAGGGGATAATCTATGCAGTTGACTGTGAAGACTGGGATCAGAGTTAAGTCACTTCAGAAGTAAAGTTGTAGTCCCGGATCTAAGAATTAGAATATTCATTTAAGAAATTTATGTTAGGTAAGTCATTCTAGTGACTGTGGAAAGAAAGCAAAAATTCAGGCACTACTGGTCAGGTGCTGTCTTAAGTTGGGGAATACTCAGTGCCTGTCCTTAAGGCTTCATGGTCTAGTGTAGCCATCAGGCAGACTCTGTAAAGGGCCAGAGAAGCTTTGCAATTCATACAATGTTATTTTTTGCTTTTTAATTTTTTTTTTTTTTTTGGTATGCAGGCCTCTCACTGTTGTGGCCTGTACCGTTGCGGAGCACAGGCTCCGGATGCGCAGGCTGAGCGGCCATGGCTCACGGGCCTAGCCGCTTCGCAGCATGTGGGATCTTCCCGGACCGGGTCACGAACCTGTGTCCCCTGCAGTGGCAGGCGGATTCTCAACCACTGCGCCACCAAGGAAGCCCTGCTTTTTAATTTTTATTTTTGGCTGCGTGGGGTCTTTGTTGCTGTGCGCGGGCTTTATTTGCAGCAAGCAGGGGCTACTCTTTGTTGCAGTGCGCGGGCTTCTTATTGCAGTGGCTTCTCTTGTTGTGGAGCATGGGCTCTAGGCACGCAGGCTTCAGTAGTTGTGGCACGCGGGCTCAGTAGTTGTGGCTCGTGGGCTCCGGAGTTTAGGCTCAGTAGTTGTGGCTCACGGGCTTAGTTGTTCCGTGGCATGTGGAATCTTCCTGGACCAGGGCTTGAACCTGTGTCCCCTGCATTGGCAGGCAGATTCTTAACCACGGCGCCACCAGGGAAGTCCCTCATACAATGTTTGTTATAACTACGCAGCACTGCTTTTTATGTAAAAGAAAGGGTGTGGCTGTGTTAAAATGAAACTTTATTTATGAACACAGGTCGTGGCCAGATTTGGTGACCCATGGTCTCCTTTTTTCCACATTTAATCTGTAATCCCCCATTGGCAATTTGTGGTGATACATTTGGAAAATGATATATTTTTGCTGATGTTATGTTCCAACTCCTGCCCTATTCTGGGAATTATCAAATTCATGGAGCTTAGAAATTATTCTCTGGGTCTCCAGATATGCCTAAAAGGGAGAAAATGTGTTGTTAGACTGGTATCAGCTTCTTCAGCTGTCATAAATAGAGTGAGTTCCTACTGTGTCATTGACGCAGATGTCATTGACAGCTGGTAGAAGCCCTAACTGTGCCGTTTGATATAATAGTTGTACTTCTGAAAATTTATTTAAAAAAAATTCAGCAAATAAAAAAATTAAAGCTCAGAACTTTTCATTTCAGTGAGAAATTTTGACATGTTTCAGTGTGAAAAATTGTAGCCTGCCCAAATGTCAGTAGCAGTCAAGCAAATTGTGATATGTTGCCCCTATAGAATAATTTGCTGTGATTAAAAATTATACTTTTGACAAATAGCACACAATGGAAGTTACTTTCTCTCCAGTGAAAAAATAAAACACAACATATCTATAGTGATTGTTGCTGTGTTTTTTAAAATTGAACAATAACTTTGTGCTTATGAACGTGTATATGCGTTAGAAACCGGATAAGAAATAAAAGGAGAAATAAATCCTGTACTCAGTAATGGGGTGAAAGTTTTCAACCATAAATAAGAGAGCTAGAGCAGTTGGATTTTGGTTGGAGAAGGAGGGCTAAAAATCAGTGCTGGGGGGAGAAATAACAAACTTTTGTGTGGCAGCGCACTGCCCTCCAGTAAGATAGCAAATAAACCTGGATGGGCACTGGGTGAGTCTGTGCTTCACTGACAGTAAAATACCTAAACATGAGCAAAGGATATCATAGAAAGCTGAGAGGCAAAATGACATGCTGTCATATGCCTTCTTGATGCCAGTCTGCAGGAAGGCACACAAGAAGCAACCCTCTTCAGTCAACTTCACAGAATTTTTAAAAAAATGCTTAGTAAAGAGCACTGTGTCTGCTAAGGAGAGAGGAAAACTTGAAGACATAGCAAAAGTATGCAGGCCTCATTATGAAAGTTTTGTTTCCCCCTGAAGGGGAAAGAAAAAAGTTTAAGAATCTCAATTCACTGAAAGGCCTCTTTTAACCTTGTTTCGTGCTGCATATCGGCCAGAAATCAAAGGAGAGCACCGTGCAAATGTTGCAGAGGAATTGGGAGAATGTCGAGTAATGCAGGTGATTAGCAGCCTTGTAATAAATCTGCTAAATGGAAGAAGATATTGTATATGTTATAGCTTTACCAGATTAAGGGAGAGCCTGACATAGGAAAAAAGAGGTGGTCCTAAATGAATGTGGTATCCTGGATTGGGTCCTGTAGCAGAGAAAGGACATGAGTGGAAAAACTGCTGAAATCCAAATAAAGTCTGGGGCTTTAATTAGTGGTAATGCACTGGCGTTAGTCTCATAGCTTTGGCAAATGTACCATGGTAGCGTAAGATTTGGTTAGGTTAGATTGTTAACAGTAGGGGAAACTGGCTGAGGAGTATATGAGAATTCTGTACTGTTTAGTAATCTAAAATTATTCCCAAAGAAGAAGTTTATATTAAAAAGGAGAATTTTCAAGAATGAAGAGAGCAAGACCAAGGGAGAAGAGGAAGAAGTTGAGGATGAGATGGTTGAAGATAAAGTAGATGAATTAGTTGGTTCTAGTGCAGGTTTTCCTTTTCTCCAAAGGAATTAACTGCCCTATACACAACTTGTTTTCTTAAACAATTGAAATCATAAGGATGTGTAAGATAACTTTTTTTTTCTTTTTGCATAGTACACCTACTATTAGAGTAACCCTGTCTTTTAGTAATATTTTCAATGGCCATTAACCTTGTGCGGTAGAGGAAAAGGGCTGTAAAACTGCATGGAAATTTAAAGCAAGTTGTGTATAACACAGATTATATATGGAATAGTGGTTTTTGAATGCTTTTGATCCAGCTTATATTAAATAATTGTTCTGTGAACTGAAGACCACTTTATAACTGAAAACGTTGCAGCTTTTTGTTGACGTTCTAAGTGCTTGCAAGTGTATACAGTCTAGAAAATCTAGACAATTTTAAATAAAAACATTTGATTTGAGGAGAGATGACTCCCTTTGAATATTGATGGGTACCGTTGATACTTTTCCTGTGACTTCACAGCAGTTCATGCTTATCTTTGTGACCCTTGCAGGCTTGCAAGAAAGCTAATAGTTTGGGTCCAGAGGCCAGATAAGAGACTGAAAAGTAATACGTTTTTTTCTACCCCCCAACCCTGGCCATGCCCTCCACCTGGAACTGGTGGTTAGCAGAAAGTAATGCTCTTGACAATTCTAGGTAGAGTGTAATTGCCTGATCATAAACACCTGGGAACTAAATTGATCCCTGTGGTAGTTTGGTGTATTTCTTCAGTTTTATTTGTTGACCAGTATAGGAGATTAGTTTTTTGAGTACCTTTGAATTAGAGTGATGCTTCCTAGTAGACTATGATTATTGTATTTTAGGTTTCTGTAATTCTTAGGCTAAAAACCCTTTTCTGACCAAGCTTATCAGACTCCTGGGTAAGTTTCTTTAAAAATAAAAATATTACAAAATGTGCTAGTTCTCAAGATGTAGGATTGGTGAGGTTGGAGGGGGATAGTGTTGGCCTTATTTAAGTTACTTTTTGTTTTGAACATCAGTTAATATTTGAACTGTAAAACATTTTCATTCAAGTGTTTCTGTTTACTATGCAGGCTTACAGTGGAACACCTCTAACAGAAGAAAAGGAGAAAATAGTCTGGGTCAGATTTGAAAATGCAGATTTAAATGGTATGGTTTTAACTTTTGGGGGGCATATGAATTAAATGTTTGTTTGAGGTTTACCTGATTCCAAAAAAAGAACGCTTACTTTTCGTCAGATTACTTTTTCTTTAAGTGACTTTTTAAGTTTTCAAAATAAATTTATTTTTAATTTAAAATGTAACATATTCAACTACAGAAACTTGATTAGAACTAATATTGTATTGTACAAGTCTTAGAGTCACTGTAACATGTAGTGCCTAGCCTTAAACTTCAAGTCCAAGTGAGATAACAATTTCTTAGAAAAGAAGTTTTTGTAATTCCAGTTTGGTTACTTGTATAGGATTTATAACTGCAAAATAATCATTAGTGTTGAACTTTTTAGACTTTAAAATTATTTTTCTGAGCAGAATGTGTGCCAGTTCAAGGCCTGTTTGTTCTCAGATACCTTCCATTTCATTGCTCCTTCCTGCTCCCTCTTGCAAGGGGGCTGCTTCTTGTCTGTTTCCCAGGCTGCCATGTCTGTTTTCCTCTGGCAGGGTTTGGGAGGCACTGGTGGGTAATTGAAAGGGAGGATGGGAGAAAGGGAAGAGTATTATTCCCTCTCCCTCTCTGTCAGCAGCTGCATTTCCTCTGTGGTTTTCACTTCACCTCGGCAGCTCCACTGGGGTTCCAGTTTCTGCCAGGTGACTCTAGCGCCCTGCCCTCCTCCCGGTCTCCCTAGTGTAGGGGTGGTAATGGCTTCCTGCCATTGCTAATCCAGTAGGTTGCCTCACAGTTCCTTTTTTGGCTTCTTAGCAATTCTGTAATCTGTGTAACGAGTTGTCTGTATTAAATTCCCAATTATGAATACACTGAGTTGTTTTCACTTGGACCTTGATGGATACCATACTCTTGAGTCTTAGTCTCCTCTGAGACTTTTAAAATACCATATTTTCCTTTCCTGGACCGTAAAGCTACGGTCCAGGATGCGGGAGGCTGTGTCACTTCTGCAAATAGGTTTCTTTTGAATTTTGGATTCTCTGTCAGCTGGTTTGTTTAAATGACAACTTGTGCCCTCTGTGGAGAATAACACATTCATTTGTATAGGTGATTATTTATGATATATAAACTTTTCCTACACTATTTCTCTTTGAAAGCTTATTCTATTTAAAATTTCCTTTCTTTTTATGACTGTTGAATTTCCTTGTTTACTAGTATATTCTTCTTTTCTTTCTTCCTTTTCCTTCTTTATTAATAACTATTTAAGTGTCGGTCATCTTTTGTTTTCTATCACCGTTTCCTCATAATTCATACTCTTTTCCCTCCTGGAAGTATATTTGCTTTGTGGATGTTAGAATGTATTAGAGGACTTTCTTGATTTAATAACAAAGAAAATGTGGTCATGGTCTTGAAAATATTAGCCAGATAATAGCAAAAACTTGTACAGCGTATGCAAAATGCTAAAAATAATTTAAAAATCACAAAATTGGGGAATTTCCTGGCAGTCCAGTGGTTAGGACTTCACACTCTCACTGCTGAGGGCCTGGGTTCAATCCCTGGTTAGGGAACTAAAATCCCATAAGCCATGCAGCGTGGCCAAAAAAAAAAAAACAACCACAAAGTTATCTTTAAAAAAAGTCATCAAAATAATCTTTAGGCAAGGTTTTTTTTGTTTTGTTTTGTTTTTAAACAACAAATAAGAATTGCTGGTGTAATAATGCTCTATAAAGCATTTGCTTTATTGAAGTAAAATGCATCTGCATCTGGAAATGTAGATGGAAACTGCTTATTTGGTACTTTGTGTTCTGTTGAACTTATAATGGTTGTCCTTAATTTAGTATCCCATATCCCCGTTGACTTATTAAACCTTTAAGTTTATACGTCTTCCTGTTAAATACTTTAGCACATTCACTTGTCCTTTGGTCTCTCCTTTCTATATCATATTGATAGTGTATGAAATTTTGTCCTGGTTTTTCAAGGATATACTTTTTATTATCTCTAGCCCTAGGGGGTGTGTGTGCATGTGTGCACATGTATGTGTATGGTTGTGTTTGTTTTAAGGCAGTAGTAAATATTACCAAGATATTTGATCCTCCTTAACTGCCCCAATCTCTCATAACATTTCCTTTTTTTTTTGGTCATGCGGTGTGGCATGTGGGATCTTGGTTCCCCGACCAGGGATCGAACCTGTGCCCCCTGCGTTGGGAGCATCGAGTCTTAACCATTGGACCTCCAGGGAAGTCCCTCTTAGAACATTTCTTGAATTTGTCTTTTATTTGTGTTCTTTCTTCAGGAATGTTTTATTTAGGTGTTTGTGTGGCAGACCTTTGGAGATATTTATAATTGAAAGAAAATTTGGCTGTGGGAAAGAAAAAGTAGGGTTCATTGGCTGCAAGTCCAACATCTCCTTGAATAAAGCTAACAAGGACTAACTTTTCCATTGCATTAGAGATTCTTGATCAGCCAGTCTGCCCTTCCCTGGTTGTGCCTGCTGCAGCTGGGATGCAATTCCTTGTTCATTGCCTTTGTCTTTCATGATATCCTAAGGGAGACAGTGGAGGGGATTCTTCTGATTGCAGCCATATTAGCTTAGCAGGCTGCTTCTTTGTAGAGCAGTTATGGGTACCCAGAGATTGTATTAGGTATTTAGGCTTCTCTTTGCTAGACTGGGAGTTTTTCTGGCAAAACAATTTAGAAGTCTTCTACCTGTCTGTAGATTTAAGTTATTTTATCATATTAATGAAACTCTGTTGCTATTAATTTAAAACTTGCAGTGTTCGAATTGAACTCTGCTCTGGTGATTGCTTTCTGTTTATTCCAGCACGCCTGAGAGCTCTGCTTTTCTGCTTGAAATTATAAAGTGGTGCCAGTTGGCCCCTTACCTCCAGGCTGCAGCCCATTTGATTATGGGCTTGTTGTGCTTGGGGGTGGAGTAGGTAACAACTTTTACAGGGGATACTTCTAAGGAGCCTGGCTTATTGAGATTCTCCAGTCCTGGATCCTTCTAGGTATCTGCATTCCTAAGCAATGTACTAACTTTGGTTTGGTGTTAGGTAGAGACTACTACTTTTGGAGTTTATTAGAAAGTGAGATTAAGGCCCTTTGTATCATGGTCATTGTTCTGTTTTTGCTTTCAGGCAGCCTGATTTATACCTAAGATTGTTTTTCTTAAGGCACTGTACTGAAAAAGGTATAAGAAGTAGCCAAAGCAGGTTATTTATTTATTTATTTTTAATTAATTAAGTAAGTTTTGGCTGCGTTGGGTCTTCGTTGCTGCGCACAGTCTTTCTCTAGTTCCCACGAACGGGGGCTATTCTTTGTTGCGGTGCACTGGCTTCTCATTGCACTGGCTTCTCTTGTTGCGGAGCGCGGGCTCTAGGCACACAGGCTTCAGCAGTTGTGGCATGCGGGCTCAGTAGTTGTGGCTCGCGGGCTGTAGAGCTCAGGCTCAGTAGTTGTGATGCACGGGCTTAGTTGCTCCACGGCATGTGGGATCTTCCCAGACAAGGGCTTGAACCCATGTCCCCTGCATTGGCAGGCGGATTCTTAACCACTGCGCCACCAGGGAAGTCCCTTTTTTTGTTTTTCTGTTTGTTTGTTTGGGGATTTTAGTTCCCCGACCAGGGATCGAACCCCAGGCCCTTGGCAGTGAGAGCACAGAGTCCTAACCACTGGGCCACCAGGGAATTCCCCGTTATTTGTATTTTAAAAAGAGCACTCTGACTGAAATATGGAGTTTGGTAGGCAGTGGTGGAGGCAGGAAGCCACTCAGGCTTTTGCAGTAGATGTTGTAGACAGGGGTGGTGGTGATGTAAGAGAGCTGTTTAGGAGCTTGGTCATAGATTTATTGCTAGAGGGAAGGAAGAAGGCGGTTCCTGATCTTGCTATCTGCATAGATAAACATGCTATTCACCAAAATAGGGAGCTCTGGAAGATCAGGTTTGGGGAGGAAATCCTGATCTTTGAGTGGAATTTGATCTTCTACTGAGACATGCAAAAACCCACACTGAGGAAGTCACTAGCAGATACTGACTGAAGCAATGGTTGGAATGAGATCACTTGGGGAGCGTATACTGTGAGAAGAAAACAGAGTTTAGGAATTTGCTTTGAGTAACTCCAATATTTAAAGAGTAGTTAGAAAAGGATGAGCCAGCAGAGAAAATGGTGAGCATCGGTTATAGCTGCTGAATAATCTTAACAAGATGTGCTTGAAAAACATATATTGGATTCAACAACTTGGAGGTTATTGGTGACCGTAGCAAAAGTCACTTGGGAGGAGTGTTAGGGGCAGAAACACATTCTGAAATGGATTCGGGGTGAATGAGAGATGAAAAACAGATGACAGTTATAAATAGATGAGGAATTTAGCTTCTAGAAGGAGAGGAAATGAAGTCAAATAAAGGGGGAGGGATATTACTGCTTTATGATTTTTTAAAAAACTTATTATGCAAATATATCATGGTAAATAACACAAAAATATGGATCAATGAATGAATTTTTACAAATCCAACACCTGTGTAGACATCACCTAGGGTAAGAAATGGAATGTTGCTACCTAATTGCCTAGTGATTTTGAATTTCATGTAAATAGAATTGTTCATGAATTTCATGTAAATAGAATTGTTCTAGAATTTGTGTCTAGCATATTACGCTTTTTGCATATTATGTCTGTGAGGTTCATCCATGTTACAGTATATGGTAGTGGGTCATTTTTTTCTGTGCTGAATAGTCTTCCATTGTATCCGTGTACCACTGTGCTTGTCCATTCTCCTCTTGATGGACATTTGGATAGATTCCAGCTTTTGGGTCTTTATAGTAATGCTGCTGTGAGTATTCTTATCTCTTGATGTATATGTGCTGAGGCTTCTAATGAGTATATACCTAGAGTGGAACTACTTGGTCAAGGGCATGGTATCTTCAACTTGAGTATATATTGTCAAACTGTTTTCCAAAGTGATTGTACTGATTTACAGTTACTAGCAATAAATAAGCAGCCTCTTCACTCCATATCCTGCCACCACTTGGTTTTGTCATTGTGGTTTTAATTAGCACTTCCTTGATTACAGATGAGGTTGAGCCACTTTTCATGTTCTCTAATGATTTGACTATCCTATTTTTGAAGTGTTTTTCCATGTCTCCTGCCTATTTTTCTACTGACTTATCTTTTTCATACTGATGTTTGTTATATGTGTTAGATGAATCCTTGTGTGGTTATAGTTGTCTCTTCTCCCATGCTGTGGCTTGGCTTTTCACTCTTCTGGTAAGGGTGGCTCATGAGTAACAGAAGTTCTTCATTTTAATGTAATAAATTTAATGTAGAATTTGCCTATCTTTTATGCTAAGAGTTTTTTTGTGTTCAGTTGTAAAGTTGTTCCCTGTACCGTGATCATGAAAATACGTTTCTACGGTGTTCCTCTAGTATTTTATTAACTTTACCTTTGTCATTTACATCTAAAATTCCCTGGTATTGATTTATTTGAAATTTTAAAAATTGTTTTTCAATAAGAAGTTCTGAAGTATTTGGAAGACATTTAAAGGAAAGCAAACAGGAAGCTGAAATCACAAAACTAGTATTTTTTTTAACAGTACTTATAATTATCAGCACAAGTAAGGTTTTAAAGATCAAACTCTCTCAGTAGAGTACAAGTACCAAGTACCACCCCACTACACACAAAGAGTAGACTACAGAACCTAACAGAGCGCCACCAAATTGCCTCCTTGCTATTCTTAAATATAGGAAACATAATCCGGACTTTCCTGGTGGCTCAGTGATTGAGAATCTGCCTGCCAATGCAGGGGACACGGGTTCGATCCCTGGTCTGGGAAGATCCCACATGCCGTGGGGCAACTAAGCCCGTGTGCCACAACTACTGAGCCTGTGCTCTAGAGTCTGCAAGCCACAATTACTGAGCCCGTGTGCCTAGAGCCCATGCTCTGCAACAAGAGAAGCCACTGCAATGAGAAGCCTGCGCACCTCAATGAAGAATAGGCCCACTCACCGCAACTAGAGAAAGCCCACGTGCAGCAAGGAAGACCCAACGCAGCCAAAAATAAATTAAAAAAACAGAAACCGCACAATTCTTTTATAGTGAACTATATGCCCAGTGTGTTCAGATATAGCAGGATTTAATTCTTATATGTAAAGGAATATAATTTTTCTTCTATTGCTAAATTTGCATATATTAGAAATTCTAGATGGTTATATGTCATATTTATATTTAGTTAACTTTGGTAAAATATTTTATTTTCATTTATCATTTACAGGTGGTTTTATTCCTGATATTAGTATTTCCTAGATATCAAGTGAGAGTTTGATTTTTATTTTTTTTTTTTACTGCAGCATGATTTTATAACAACAGTAATAACATCAACATAGGGCTTCCTATGCCTGATACTATTCTAAATGCTTTTTGTATTATCCCATTTAACTCTTACAACAGTCCTTTGAGATATGAGTATGATTACCTTCATTTTACAGGTGAGGAAACTGAGGAACATTAACAGTACTAAATTTCACAGACTCTTGTGTCCACCTACTTATACAAGACCTCTAGCTGTTTGCAAAACCCTCTCCGCATCTTGCTCTTCCCTGTCCTCTGCCTGTTATTTCTCAGAGTGTCCAGATGCAACTTGTGAACCCACACAGTTTATGTTGTGTGCTTCCGCTGGGCACTTCTCCTTCTGTGCTTTTACCTGGCACTAGTTTCCTACTGGGTACTGCTGTCACTGTGTTAGGTTCTGTAGTCTACTTTTTGTGTGTAGTGGGGTGGTACTTGGTACTTGTACTCTACTGAGAGAGTTTGAGTTTTAAAACCTTACTTGTGCTGATAATTATAGGTACTGTTAAAAAAAAATACTAGTTTTGTGATTTCAGCTTCCTGTTTGCTTTCCTTTAAATGTCTTCCAAATACTTCAGAACTTATTGAAAAACAATTTAAACAGTTGTTACCGCCAGTTACATTAAAGAAGTGTACTTGTTTTTGTTGATTGGCATTGTCTTTTTTTTTTTAATAGATCTTTATTGGAGTATAATTGCTTCACCATACTGTGTTAGTTTCTGTTGTACACCAAAGTGAATCAGCCGTATGCATACATCTGTCCCCATATCCCCTCCCTCTTGAACCTCCCTCCCACCCTCTCTATCCCACCCCTCTAGGTCATCGCAAAGCACCGAGCTGATCTCCCTGTGCTATGCTGCTGTTTCCCACTAGCTAACTATTTTACATTTGGTAGTGTATATATGTCAGTGCTACTCCTACTTTGCCTCAGCTTAACCCTCCCACCCCATGTCCTCAAGTCCATTCTCTATGTCTGCATCTTTATTCTGCCCTGCAACTAGGTTCATCAGTACCATTTTTTTTTTAAGATTCCATATATATGTGTTAGCATACGGTATTTGTTTTTCTGTCTCTGACTTACTTCACTCTGTATGACAGACTCTGGGTCCATCCAGCTCACTACAAATAACTCAGTTTTGTTTCTTTTTATGGCTGAGTAATATTCCATTGTATATATGTGCCACATCTTCTGTATCCATTCATCTGTCGATGGACATTTAGGTTGGTTCCACGTCCCGGCTATTGTAAATAGTGCTGCAGTGAACATTGTGGTACATGTCTCTTTTTGAATTATGGTTTTCTCAGGGTATATGCCCAATAGTGGGATTGCTGGGTCATATGGTAGTTCAATTTTTAGTTTTTTAAGGAACCTCCATACTGTTTTCCATAGTGGTTGTATCAGTTTACATTCCCACCAGCAGTACAGGAGAGTTCCCTTTTCACCACACCCTTTCCAGCATTTATGGTTTCTAGATTTTTTGATAATAGCCATTCTGACCGGCACTAGGTGATACCTCATTTAGTTTTGATTTGCATTTCTCTAATAATTAGTGATGTTGAGCATCTTTTCATGTGCCTCTTGGCCATCTGTATGTCTTCCTTGGTGAAATGTCTATTTAGGTCTTCTGCTCATTTTTTAATTGGATTTTTTGTTTTTTTGATATTGAGATCCATGAGCTGTTTGTATATTTTGGAGATTAATCCTTTGTCTGTTGTTGCATTTGCTAATATTTTCTCCCATTCTGAGGGTTGTCTTTTTAATTTGCTCCTTTGTTACTTAATTCTAATGTAGATACATCAAGAAATCTGGAATTTCATGAAATACATAGCACAGGGAATGAGCCACCTTTGCTGATTATGATTGGCTACAGTGATGGAATGCAGGTCTGGAGCATCCCTGTAAGTATGAAGATGGTTGAATCCCTGAAATATAATACTTTTCAGCATGCTAGCTGGTGTGAAACCTGGCGATATTTTCTCTAAGGTCTCATCCATTTATTTTGCAAGCAATTGCTAAGAGACCGCTGTGTGTGGAACCCCATACTAGGCCCAAGGGCTAAGGGGAAAATGGGAAATTAAAGATGTTGTAAATGATTTGTAAAGTGGGCCAGCAATTGTGGGAATCACTTTACATGGAATATCTAATTTCTTATCATAGTAACTCTACCTAGTTGGTGTTATTATTATCTTTTCCTGCATTTTTACAGAAGAGTAAAGAGGCTTACAGAAGGCTTTTAAAAAAAATAGTGATCATTTTTTGAATCAGTTAAAACATTCACATGGTTCAAAATTCAGGAGGTGTAAATGGGTAACAAAACTCCCTACCACTACTCTCCCCAATTTCCCTTATCTTGAGCAGTTTCTAGTTTTCTAGGATTTCTAGTTATGTTTCTTTTCCTTATAGCTATATTTTATGCTAATAAGAACATATATACATATAATTCTCCCAGCCTGCCCTTCCTTAACAGAAGGGAACATATTATACAACTCAGTCTGTACATTGCTGTTTTTTACTTATAAATCAGTATTCAGAGAGCTTTTCTATGGAATTTATAACTGCTTATAATTCTGTTTTTTGGATTTTCCTTAATTTACATAAGTTGTTTCCTTTTATTGGAAAAACTTAAAATTCCCCCCCACCTCCACCCCCTTTCTGCTATTAGAAACAGTGATGTAATACATGAATTTGAACAAAGGTTATTTTGTGTCTGTGTATCTATATAGGATAAGTCATAATTTTAATAAATGTTTTAAATTGCCAAATTCTATTCCCAGTTTCCCTCTTCAATCCTACGTGTTCCTCTTTGGAATGACCAAAAATAAAATGTACTAAAAGAGGAAGAGGCTTGGTAGGATCACAGCTCAGTGAAGTGTAGTAGGGACTGCATACTTTGGCGTGTACTTAGTTATATTCTGCTCTTTGGCATGGCCTAGATATCATGTCTCTCCTCCAGATTTTGGGGTGTGGGGGGGAGTTGGCGGGTGGACCCTTTATTGTGTGTTTTTTTTTTTTGCAGTTAGAGGCCTGGAGCCAATAGAATTTTAATTTGTGCCTTTAATAGATGCATTTACCACATTGTTTGAAGCCTCTTGTTAGTGGGTGGTTCAGCTAGAATTTTTTCCCCTTTTTGATTTTTTTGCACATTATGGTTACTTCTTAAAGGATTTATAAGCAAACATATATTACCTCAAATTTAATGAAATTCAGGATGTTCCTGAATGCAGAATTTGGCTAAAAGATTATTAAGTAATGAATACATTGAACTGCATAATTCTTTAATATTCTAAGTAAAATTATTGTTTATTCTTTGATAAATCACTTATAATGAACTTTGGTCTTCCATCTAATCTTATAATAATTATATATCATATTATTAGTATTTAGGATTTTAGGTTTTATATTTCTTTCTTTTAAAGATTGGCATTATTTTGCAGAGATAGAATAATCCTGTTGGTATGTCATGGAATGCGTGTCCTCGTGTTTTTGCCTTTGGGGGTGTGTAGTTGACGTTTTTTCAAGGCCCTGCAATGTTGTTTGTAATTTAAGTATCACGCCAAAGGCATAGACAAAGGACTTAAAAGCGTTGACAGTCTTTGCTTGCTTGCTTTTTCCTACCAAGAGAAATATTTCTAGGTTGTGTTCAAGAGGAGAGGATTTTGTGAATTTAACTTTTTCTTATTAATAGAGACTACATTTTGATTCTTTACACTGTTGACAGACTTGAAGGCAAAGAGGAAGCTAGAGCTTTAACAAGCTTGGGCCTTGTGGGATTAGGGATGTTGACTGGATTGAGTACATTTCTTTGGTGGTACTCAGGCTACCCACTTGCTTTGGTTATAATTAGAGGTATCACTTTTAATAGTTAATTTGTGTCTGGTTCTGAGTAACTTAAAGGTCTTATGAGGAAATTACTTCTTTACAGTAATTCTCATGCCCAGATTGTATTTTGAGAGATTTAAATAATCTTTTCTTCATGGAATTTTCATTGACTAACAGTTGTTTTTATTTATTTGTTTATTTATTTGGCTGCATTGGGTCTTAGTTGTGGCATGCGGGATCTTCATTGTGGCATGCGGGATCTTTTGTTGCAGCTCGCGGTCTTCTCTCTAGTTGTGGTGCGTGGGCTCCAGAGCATGCAGGCTTAGTTGCCCCGCGACATGTGGGATCTTAGTTCCCTGACTAAGGATCGAACCTGAGTCCCCTGCATTGGAAGGTGGATTCTTAACCACTGGACCCCTAGGGAAGTCCCTGACAGTTGTTTACTGTTGTAGTAGTATAGCCCCGTGAGGACTGGTTCAAGAATTAGAGGGCAGTTTGGAAAAATAAGCTCCTTCTGTTGCACTGATTGAGCTCTTACTATGTTCAGAGAACTTTATATACACATTATCTCATCTGTTGTATACTGTGAGGGAGAAGTTATCCTATTTTACAGGTGGTAAGGTCACACTACTTATAAGAGGTGGAATTGGAATTCAAACCCAGTTCTGACTTCAGATTCAAAGCCCATGATCTAAGAGCTCTATTTCCCCTATGTGATAGCAGAAGATATGCCATGCAAGTAGTATGGCACCTTAGTTTTAGTTTTCATTGTAATAGGTTACGAAGGACCTTCATATATTCATCTTTTATAGACTAGTGTGACTGTTACCCATTACTCTAACTAAACCCTTCTGAAACTTGTTTATCACTAGTCAGTTATTCAGTAATCATTTAAGTGTTACCATGTGCTAGACACTGGGGAGCTTATGTTGGTCAACCTAGAAATAATCCTGGCTCTTAGGGATCTTCGCAGACCATAAATTGTATTTGCTTTTCAGTAAGTGCGGGTGGCCAGAAATCAAACCCTGTCCAAACTACAGCTCAGTTTTTTCTTCAAGTTTGTGCACAGGGTTCCCTTCTGTTGATTTTATGTAACTGTCCCACCTGTGAGTCTCAGATTAAGAAAATAAACATCCTGGCTAAACATGTAAAAAAATTGTCTATTTATGTAAGTGCACAAATATGAACAAAGCTTAGATGATATCTAGGAATATAGTTAAGTGGAGTTAGCTCAGAAGCAGAACTGTGCAGAAGTAATTTCTCTACTGCCCAATCACTACCACTTTGTATATGAGATGGCTGCAGGAAAACACCAGCTTTCATAGCTTTCCCAAGCTGTCAGGCCCCTTCTTTCAACACATCTGATGCAACATAAGAAAGAATGATTATTTGTGATGTTGATATTCTGGATACATAGGCCCTTTTCCCACCTGTGCCTAACAGTGACATTGCCTCTTTTTGGTAATGTAAATATAGGCTCTCTTGCTTAAAATTCTTAATTAAAAAAAAAAAGTCAAAGTTATACATGTGCATGGACTAAAGACCGAGTAATTTTATGGGAGTCATATGAAAAAAACAGTAGTTGTATATTCTTCCTTTCTTAACTCCCATAGTTCTTTCAGCTCTTGTTATCTTTGCATTTATTTCAGTTATTTTATTTTATTTATTTTAAAAAATATTTATTTATTTATTTATTTGGCTGTGCCAGGTCTTAGTTGCAGCACACGGGATCTTTGCTGCCACATGCAGGATCTTTAGTTGCGGCATGTGGGCTCTTAGTTGCGGCATGTGGGATCTAGTTCCCAGACCAGGGATCGAACCCGGACCCCCTGCATTGGGAGCGAGGAATTTTAACCACTGGACTACCAGGGAAGTCCCTGGTGGGGACTTCAGTTATTTTAAAATATCTTGCTTACATTCTCTTTTTTTTTTTTAATATCTTTATTGGAGTATAATTCCTTTACAATGCTGTGTTAGTTTCTGCTGTATAACAGAGTGAATCAGCTGTACATAAACGTATATCCCCATATCTCCTCCCTCTTGCGTCTTCCTCCCACCCTCTCTTGCTTACACTCTTGATTTTTTTTTCGGCCAGTTTTACACATAGATTGACTTGATGCCATGAACTGTGAGAACGTAAAAATTGTTCATTTATTCATTACAATTCTTGGATAAAGTATGTATTTTGAGCAAAATAGATATGGCCTTTGCTCAAATGGAGCTAGTAGGAGAAATGGATTTAAATAAAAATAAATTAATAGGGCTTCCCTGGTGGCGCAGTGGTTGAGAGTCCGCCTGCCGATGCAGGGGACACAGGTTCATGCCCCAGTTCGGGAAGATCCCACATGCCGCGGAGCGGTTCGGCCCGTGAGCCATGGCCGCTGAGCCTGCGCGTCCGGAGCCTGTGCTCCGCAACGGGAGAGGCCACAACAGTGAGAGGCCTGCGTATGGAAAAAAAAAAAATTAATAGACAAATTGTAATATGAAGAAAATAATAAGAGAGTATATATAATAAGGAAGTGGCATAAAAGTTAATTAAGATTTAGCCACAGTAAGATTGGAACAGCAAGTAGTGAAGTCAGAGGCTCTGAGGTGGAAATGTTCTTTTCTCTCTACTGGGACATTGATTTAGATTTCTTAAGTTTTTTTCTTCTTAAAGAATATTGAGATAAATATCTTTATGATCATGTAATTTGGAGAGTTCATTAAAAGTAAATATACCAAAACTCTTGATAGATTTACCAAATTGCATTCTTGTAAAGCCATGCCATTTATTCTCACCTCATTCATTTATTAATTCATTCACTCAGAAAAGATTTATTGATTGCCTTTTTTATGTCAGACCCTGTTCAAGGTGCTGGGAAAACAACAATGAGCAAAACAAAACCATTATTCTTATGGAATTTCCATTCTAGGTAGGTGGGTTGGAGGGTGGGGAAGATGATAATAAACATGTACCATGCTTGGATAATAAAAAGTTACCAAGTGTTAAGGTGTGGTGGTTGATATTGTTGTGGGTTGCTATATTATATGAGGTGGTCTTGGAAAGCCTCTCTCAAAGACCCCCTGAGCAGAAGTG